AATAAATATTATATTAATTTTTCTGAAATCAGCAACTATATTACATATATATCTGAAATAAATATTTGCAACATTTTTGCACACAACTTTTGCTACAGTAAATTACTTTTCCAAATACCTTTGCCAAAAAGATAAAAATAAAATGATGCACACATTATCAGCAGTGAATTACGCTGGAAAACTATTTATGAAATGATAAAGAAGAAGAAACAAAAAATGCAATTAAATAAAATACAAACACAAACAAACACTCACGCACAGGCAGACACAACAAAAGTTGAACGGATAGGCGACTGCCGGACAGAGAGACAAACAAACAGGTTACTCGGGTTTCTTCTTCGGTGTCAATGAAACAACAACAACAACAAAAACAACAGCAACAGCAGCATCAGCAACGCCAACAACAATAAATAAAAGATGAATTAAACAAAACAAAAATAAAAATAAAAGTGAACACTGTCTCGCTGATGAACGAGCTGCAAGGCCTAAAACTGAATTTGAATTCGGCGAGCTGCAAACAAAGCGAAATACAACTCGCATTTGCCTTACAATAAACAAATGAATGGTCTAAGGGCTAGCTAGCCATAGAATTCGAGTGCATAGAAAGTTGCAAATCTACTGTTACGGATTGGAAGCTAACCGATCGATATGCATACTACAAGCCAAAAAAAGCTAACTCACTGAGCAGCAGCAGCGGCAGCTGAAAGCTTTCAGTGCTCGCTCCCTCTCTCTCTCTCTCTCTCACTGCCTCTCTCTGTCTGTCTGCCTGTCTTTCTCTCTGCTTTGTTGCAATACAAGCTGCAATAATTGCAACAATGGCAGGCAAAGAGAGCTGAGTAAAACGTATCGAGCAATAATAACTGTAGCAATATTACAAAATCAACAACTACTACAACAACAATGAGATAATAACGCATACAACAACAACAAGCAGTGGAAAAGTCGCTTTAAAATGCATTTACAACTAGCAAACAAAACAAAATCAAAGCAACTAAGAACACTGCAATCGGGCGTTACCGACTACAAAATATGCATTCAGCACCCAAAGAGATTGATTTTCCGATTTGCCACGCCCTCAATTAATGTACAAATATATAAATAAATATATATAATACACCTACATTGCATATAAAGTGCAAATCCTTAATTTCTAAAGTACAGCTCTCTAGAACCCTAAACTAAAATGGCTTCTGAGATACCGGGAAATGCATTTGCCACGCCTCTAGTGGGCGTATACGAAAAAGCTTGACACTTTATAATTCAAGGTACGAAATTTCAATTTTCCCTAACTTCAATAACAGCGAAATGGAGGAACAGCAAGACGGATTTTGTACAAATTCAATATACTCTATAAATATACTCATTTGACTTTCTTGAATAGGTATAAAAAATAAATAAATAAAACAAAATCAATTACGTATTGCATTGCCAAGAAACAAGCCCACTTTTTGAATGAAGTCAAATTTTGAGCTAATATTTTCTTTGAAATGTTATGCATGTATTACTATTACCTCTGTTTACTGCGGCAATTAGCAAGTTGATAAAATTTTATAATTCGATGGTATAAAACGTGTTAGAGGTTTTAATTAAACAAACTTGTCCGCAAATTAGTAAAAGCCAACGAAATACGTTCGTTAGCCAACTTCTTCAATAGATTGATCAACTTTTTTATAATTATTTAATTTTAGGCTTAGCCCGAAGTTGGGGCAGACATGCTGTCTCTATGAACCGCCAGGCACCAGTCAGAATTTTGGTTAACAACAAGAAATCATGTGACAGACAATTTTAGCAATTGAAAGTAAGCATTTCTCTATTTTTTTAATGGAGGAATTTGATTCTTAGTATTAGCTCTAATTTGATTTTAAAAATATTCTTGTTTCTATTGAAAGTTTTATTTAAAAGTTAATTTTAGATTAAAAAAAAAATAAACAGAAAATTGTTAAATAATTCTAAATTAAAAGTAACATTTTTAAATACTAGTATAACAAATAAATATATGAAAAATT